TGAAGGCAGCCGCTTAACCGACTGAGCCATCTAGGCGCCCCGGTGAGAAACAATTTTATATGGAATTGTAAAATTCAAAATGGCAGCCTCAAATGTTAGACAAAGTACACTAGATTCCAACTCAAGAAGAGCCGAAATTGAAATGGCACCTAACAGAGAGGATAGTACATATGGATGTCTGATGCTCTGTCACAACTGCTATCCTGAACAACTGCATAAATGTACCATGTTTTCTTTCTTCTGGCTATTGTTCATGCAATTCCCCGTCTACAACGACTTCCCCTCTTATTCTATCTCCCGTGTGTTTCTAGAAATTCCTACTCAAGCTTTACCATCAACTCAGAAGTCCCCTTCTGCCATGCCACCCCTGGTCTCTCCTATTTGAAAAACTAATGGGAACTAGGACACCACAACCCCATGATGCACCTTGACTGCACAGCATATCACTACATAAGGGAGATCATTGCTTCTTTACAGGTCTGTCGCATCCTCTAAATAGCATTCTTTTTAATCATCTTTGTATCTCTAGCACCCAGCAGGAACTCAAATGGCAGTTGAATAAATGAATACCTGCTAACAGCCATACAGCAAGATTTTAACCTCTTTTTACATATCTAGGACTCGCCCTTCTATCCTCAAAAGGGTGCATTTGTAGAACCTGAGGCAACAGATTGCTTTGGGACAGAGGTTTTTCTAAAAGTTTAAATAGCTAAAGTGAGTACTGTTATTTCATACTTCTTAAGTAACAAAGAAATAGGATAGAAAAACGTTAGGATTACATAATATCAAAAAATAAATGGACAGGTTGGCAAAAAAAAAACAACACAAAAAACCATATAATTTACTACATGAGGATACCAGCCAAAGTGTTTTATTCCTATACCCTCTCTATCACTCAAGGCACACGTACACATACACACAAAAAGCTAATAGCAAGTCACTGTGGGAAGTTTAATCATAACCCATCAACAGAAGAGCCCATGGCATGGTAAACACCAAAGTGTATTATTAGGGTTGCTAATTGCTAATTAAAATCCCCAGATCAGGTTTCTGGGCACAGCTTGCTATATCTGTGCAGTGGGCAGGTCCCAGATGGTATGAAAACCAAGACTGGGCCTGCTTCTTCATTCAAGGCTATTCCTGCAGTATCACAAAGGTTGTGGGTGACAGATTGTGCAACAAGAATATTCACATGCAGTTGCCTCAGGCACAGCCCTGCTCCCGACTACAGATTTGAGAAAAGTTTCTAGTCAACTTCTGGGACTGAGAAATTAGGCTATTGTTGCATAAAATACCAGAAGGTGCCTAGCTTTACCCCTTATAGCAAAGAAAATGGTCACAATATTCAACATATTGTCCTCCTTCCTCGAGATGGTCTGGTAAGGGCAAGACAAGGGGCCTTCCTGGGTTGATGGAAACATTCTAGATCTTGACTGAAATGTGGGTTACACGCATGTATACATTTGTCAAAACCCACAGAATTGTTATCTCTTAAGATTCATGCCTTCCACTGTATATAAATTTTACCTAGAAAAAAAGAACCATGCACAAAAATCGAACTCTAATTAGTAGGTTGATTTTCTGCAGTGGTATGAGCTAGCAATTTTGAAACTACTTTCTGTATATTCTAGACTTGAGCAAGTGAGTAAATACATGCAGGATAGTAAGAGTCAGGTTCTCACGGTTGGGGAAGGTAGTTACAAATATGGAAAGGGGGAAATTAACATCACCAAAGGGGATAAAATACATCATGTGCCTCCTAACATGAAGATACATCATCACATCTTTGGTAGTTCTGCCAAAGTTTCATAACATAACTCTAATCATAAACATTAGACAAAATCAAATTGAGGGAAATGCTACAAAATAAATGGCAAAATATCAACATATTTAGGTTAAGAAAGACAAAGAAAGGATAAGGAACTTTTCCAGATTGAGGGAAGCCAAAGAGATATGACAACTAAATGCATGCTTGATCCTGAATTGGATCCTGAATTGGTCTGGGAGAAACCTATAAAGAACATTACTGGTATAAATAACAACATTTAAAATACAGACTGTGGATTAGATAACAGTATTGTGGCAACATTAAACTGCCCGAATTTGAAAATATCTTGTGTTTGGGTAAGAGAATATCCTTTTTCTTAGGAAATACACATTGAAATATTTAGTTGGAAAGGACCACAATTTCTCCAACTTACTCTCAAAGTTGAAAGAAAAAGAGAAGGGTGGGGAGGAGGAAGCAGGGTGGGAGGGAGGGGAGTGCACACATATACAAATGGGGCAAAATGCCAACAATTGGTCAATCTGGGTAGAGTATAAGGAGGTTCTCTGTACTATTCTTGCAACTTCTCTGTAAGTATAAAATTATATCAAAATATAAAGTTACCAAAAAAATACCCTAACTTCCCCCCAAAATATTTAGATGAAAGGCTAATAATAACTAATTCAATATATTATGAGAAATTCTTTCAAGAATATTGGTTTTAAATTCTATTTTTCCCTCTGCTAGCAATCCACAAAAGCTTCAGTTGACTCTAAATTCCTTTTTAGAACTAAAAACAACTCATATAGCTTCAAATAAGATTTTTTGAAATTCTGTGGTAGATACCATCATGTTAAGAAAGTCTCATAAGACAATAAACAGAAATTGGAATGAAAATACCTCTTCATTACCCTACTCCCTCCAGATTCTTCAGTATTTTTTCTGTAAGATGGAACAATTCATCTGGTTACATGCCAAGTTAAAACAAAACAAGATAAGAAATGACTTGTGTGTAATGATTCGCCTTCCCTGACACAGTAGAGAACTGTATTCTTCCCCACCTCAGGCCTTATAAAAGGTCTATACATATATATAAATATGGTAATGAACAGAGCATTATTACTCAGCAGAGCTTATTCTATCTCCCCCCATCTTTCTCTCTGTATTTGTGTTAAATTAGATAGAAGTATGACCTTGGTCCTGGGGGGCGGGGGGAGAGGAGGCAAAATACCAAAAACTACCAAAGGAAAAAATTACTTCATGGATATCAAAGGAGAATTTTTAAAAAGTCATTTTTAGCCCCAAAGAATCTTTCTGAAACAATAACAACTATGATATGACTCAGTATAAAAATATTATGCTAAGTATGCATTAAGAAAAATTCACATGCACAGAGATGAAACTGTAATTGGATTTGTCATTTCAAAGTATTAATGTTGGGTTTGCAGATAATAGAGAATGACATTCTCCTAAGCGAATAAAGAAGTTAGCCAAGTAAGTAAATGCTGTGTTTCTACTGTAAGGAAATATGTGCACCAGTGAAGCAACCTTTTCAGCACAAAAGAAATTTAATACCCAGACCACATGAAAAGTGATCGCTATGGGAATAGCACAGCTGTTAAAATCCAAGGCCATTTGTATTAAATCGTCTAGCATGTTTATGTAAAGCAGGACTTTCAGAATGACCACCAAGAGGAATTAACTTCACTAACAAAAAAGTGATACCTGTATTTAGTTTAATGCTTATAATAAGTGTGAAAGAAAAATGCAAAGTGATTCTCTTTCAAAGAATAGAGGGGACCTCAGTTAGCTGGTATGCTTGTGATTCTTTCATAAACAGTATCTCAAGGGCTAATTTAATTAGAACGAGAACAAGAAAGAATGAGTGTTTGCTTTTCACTTACAGAACCCAATTATCTTTATTTCATTGAGACGCCTGATCTACATAAAGCCACAGAAAAACTGGCACCTGTGCCAAATGATTTCAGTATGAAAATTAATACTGCCAAGTTATTTTGAGACCAATTAGCTCAGCCATTCAAAAAAAAAAAATGTGCTCACTAAAAAGCATATAATCCTAAAACTTGCATTTCTGAAGACAGAAGCAGACACCCTTGAGGCCTTGACTTGAACAGATATGATACCTCAGAGAGACAACAAAAAGAATGAGCTCGTGGGTAACTACTGATAAATGGTAAGCTTTAAATCTCAATGCTGACACTTAGGATGCATAATGATAAAACAGCTTAGTTTACTTTCTGAAGAAAAAAAATTACTCTAAATGTTTCAGCACCTAAAATTAACCAAATTTATCAGCATTCTCAAATCTGAGTTAAGTTTTTAGACTGGTTAGGATTGTGCTTCTCATAGGATATGACCAAGTAAAGTCTTAAAAAAAAAAAAAAAAAGCTTCCCCAGAATTCAATCCCTTCCATACTGCCAGATGTAGGCTCCATGGCAAAGAAGTCCTGAATCAGAAGTGAGAGGCCAGAGTTTGGGATTAATAACCCCAACACTATTTTGCATAACACTTGAACATGAAAATCTTACCAAGAAGCTTTAGTTTTAAAAGCCCAGGTTAAATCACTGGGCATCAATGGCTTAGAAGCATACAAAAGAAAAAATAGCTATAAAAACACAGTATACAGGCACAAATAACTCAGACTATCTCTAGGCCTATTAAAAAATGAGATGCCATCACTGTAGTTTTGAGATACATCAGCCGTTTCCCATTACAATGGAAGACATACCAGCTCTATTTTTAGAGCCTCTGGAAAGATCAAAGCTGAAGGGGTTCTTTTATGGCTCCCTAGCCAGGCCCCTAATCTGTTTACTTTTTTGTCATTATGTAGATCTCCAAAAGACAAACCATGAGGACTGCCTGGTATCCCCCTCCTCTAAGGAACACTAAAAATTGCTCTATAATGGTCCATGTGAGCAAGGAACTTCTGGGGAGGAACAAAACCTAGTGAAGTTCACATTCAAATTATTGTGATGCAAGTATTGATACAGAACTACAATATCTAATTCAGTCTCTCTTTGTACACTATAAATAAAACTTTTTCAGGCTGGTTTCCCTGTGAGAATGAATACACATAAATGACAAATTCCTTCCAATTTTTTAGACCCTATTCCTCCCCCTCAAAAAAGTTCTCAGTTGGGTTCAGTGCCTCTCACTGGTAAGGGTGATAGGTTCATTTTAAAAAACAAGTCCCTCAAATGCAGAATGACTTACTTTGGAAGAACAAGCTGTACATTTGTCAAACGCCAGACTGACAGGAAGGACATTATCAAACCGTGACAGAAATCCCCGGATCTAAAAACAAAACAAAACAATTGACATCAAGCTCAGAATGCCCATACCTGTGAAATGTATTTGTAGTTTCTGACAAGAAGTGGGAAATAATATGGTGGTCTTCATACGGATTACTAGCAAAAATGAAGTGCAGCATGGATATTTTTCCTTGTACTATAATCAGTTTGAGGAAGAACTGTATCATGTCTTTTATTCAGTTAGGAACCTACAACCTTTTCATGTATTTGAGACCTAAAAAAATCCAAAATACAAAAAGAAATCACTACACTGTAAAGTATCATTGTAATAAATGTCTTAAAAAATACAACCGGTCAACTAGTTTATGATGACTCAACTGTCATACACAAGTTATAGTGAATATGGGTAAGTGTGTGTATGTAGGATAGGATATTGGGTGGAGCATCACAGGTGAGAAGGCGTGGGGACTATGCCAGGCAGAGACGGTTCTAAATATATATCTAGTTATTTGGTTAACTTGGAATAGATAGGGATAAAATGCAAAACATCACCAAATTTATGGGGAAACAGCGCCACCTCGAGCATAAACTTCTAGACTACAACTGACTGCCATTTTCAGGGTATCGGCTATAACCAGGTTTCAAAAACTTTAAGTAATTTACTGACATTATACCTTTCTAGAACTATACTTATGCCAAACGGGAAGTGTCAAACTATTGTGTAGATCATTAACATTATGAAAATTATGAAATTTTGAAAAAAATTATGAAATTATGAAAAATATGAATGGTAAACTCCATGAAGTCTCCATAGGACTTGGCATTTATAGTAAATCAGACAACACGAATGAATCCTCTCATGAGTTAATTTGATCTTCCCAACTGTCCCCATTTTATGTTGATAAAACTCAGAAAGGTGATGCAACTTGGCCCAGGAAAACAGAAAGCGACAGAGCTAAGATTCAAAAGTAGGCATCTTGACTCTAAACATGGTCTAACCCCCTCCTACCTTACTCCCACTTCCTCCCTTTCTCTCAGGATATTACAGGTTTGTCTTCAATATTAGGTCTCAACACAAATTAACAGTCTCACCTGAAAAGAGCAAAAGAACCCAGCCACACATCCTTATTGCCTTTAGCTACCCTACTAACACTTCTCCCAAAATAAAAACAAACAGAACCTGACAAATTCTTTAAAGAAAAAGGCTTCCTTCTGCATTGGGATAACTTCATCTTCGTGCCCACAGTGCACCTAACAGTCTAACTGTGTGTTCATACTGGAAAATTGAACCTGGACAGACATGGCTATGGCTATCTTTTAAATACCCTTTTCAATGTAATCCAAGATTAAAAGAACGTTTGGTAGAAATGATAAATTAGATAGCAGGTATTAGTTAGATGGCCTCATTGGGAACCTCTGAAAATGTGACAATCTTTTAGTTCCCTAAATCTCAGGAGTGTGGTGACCATTTCATTATACAGTACTGGAGGCACAATCAGGGTTTAAGTTCGCTATTCAGGACATCAAATCAGGAGACATCAAAGTTCTAGGAAAGACTTTAACAGGTCATAAATGGGAATGCTGAGATCCTCATAAGATCAAGAAGTTAGAGGCTTAAAAGAATTCTCAAAGTGAGCCTTCTCACACCTCAGTTACTATTATGTTACATTTATATATATATATATAATATACGCATATATTTTATATGCGTATATTATACATTTATATTTTTATATAAAACTCCCCTCCAAAATGTGACTGTATTTTGTACATTTTCCATTAAAATGTTCATTGATATAGCCTATGTTAATGCCTCCATATACGCTTCACAAAAAGTTTTTCATTCTTTTTTCTCCTACAGCTGATATCAAGCTTTATGTTATATAAAGAAATACTGGTAATTTTCTCTGCTAAACTGTCTCATGATTACAGATGGGAAGTAAAGTTGAAAGCAAGGGAGACAGAAGACCAAGTTAGGAGCAGGAAGGAAGGCAGGAAAGAAAAAAATAAAAACAAAAACACAGGTGATGAGCAACAGAAGAAAAAGGAACCAGAATGAATGGACTGGCCACACATGGGCCACACACTATTGTTTAGCACCCCCAGACAGCTCTTTACTAGGAAACTATGATTCATTTTCCCAGGAAATGAAGTAAAATAACATCTGTGTGTGAGGCCTTTCAAATTCACCAAGTTGGTATCAGAAGGCCCAGAGTGCAAAGTAATTAGTTTTAGGTAATTTTAAAAAGGAAAGCCTTCTCAAACCCAATGCATCAGACTCCTAATGGGTATCTCCACAGGTGAGCTCCTTCCTTTCCATATAATGCCACACTCTGCCACTGATGAACTTTTCTAATACACAGCTCCTCGGTGTGTCACTTTTTTATCACCTTTCTAGAGCTGAAACAAACACGGCAGAGAATTCCTTATGCTGGCATTCAAGATCCCCCCATTAACCTGGGACCATTCTGCCTTTCTGATTATGTCTTAAATGACTCAGAACCCTTCCTTTTGGAAACAGCTACATAGCCAAATCCCCACCTTCCTTAAAAGCCACTCAATGCAAACACACCTTTCATAAATCTTTAATCTACCTACCATCAAGCTTAGAGATAATTGTCTCCATCACATGAAATCCTTCTTTTTGATATTTATCATTAAATACCTTGTGGAATAGTTATTTATTTATTTATTTATTTATTTTTTAAAGATTTTATTTATTTATTTGAGAGAGAGAGTGAGAGAGAGAAAGAGCACAAGAGGGGGGGGCGGGAGAGGGAGAAGCAGA